GCTCACACAGGGCCATGCAAACATATCCATAGTAGAACTTTTCCCCATTTAGTCCCCTTAAAAGTGCACTATTCTATATATTTTACAGGGCTTTTACATAAACGGAAGAAACACAAGCTATTAAGTAATTATGAAAGATTGACTCATTGCTTTCACCATTTTTTAAATGTAAATCTTAAAGGTGTGCCATGCATTCGTGTTCATTTGTGCAGCTAAATCATAGCTGCAAATGTATCTCTGTTAGGTTTATATCTGGAACTTGAAATGTTAGCAATAAATAGATAAATAAAACAAAATAACATGGAGGCAGGATCAGGCTTTACTTCAGCAGGAAAAGAAAACGAAAATTCTGTATATCTGGGAGATTCACCCTCTAAGTAAGGGTAAAAAGACCCAGAAATGTGCCGTTCAGATTGAAAAGAGATTAAAGATGTAATGTGACAAAGAAAAAAAAGAAACAAATGAGTGTTTCCTGTGCAGGATTGCATCTGTATGGCAGTCCATATGAGCTGACTAAAGAGACAAAACCTATGTGGCTTCCTATCAGGTGGAGGGGAGGCCTCTCAGACATCCTGGCTGGAAAAGACAAGATCAGACTGTTTAGAGTCTAAATTTAATCTGAAGCTGTGAGCTCCACTCTACGTGTGGCGTCTCGGCCGTCCAATCACGCAACAGTTTGGACAGCTTAAGAGATGTTGGGAAAGGATCACGCTGTTCTCAGCTGAGTTGTGTCAGCAAGCGGTCAGCTGTTGGATCCCTCCCTTTGCTTCAGTTTTTGAAATGAATAATACAGGTACTTTTTGGGATGGTTGCAAAATAATCACTGTTTGTATCTTTAATGTGTAAAGGCCCGCCATGATCATGAAACCATGGAAACACAGAACATGGAGCGAAGCTGCACAACTGGTGAGACAAAAATCAAGTTTTGTTAAACTGCTCCAGGTCTAAACAGTTTGCACAAGCAAATCTTTTTGTAAGGAGATTATTAGAAGTCAAGTGAATAGCTGGGTTATCAAGATCCTCACTTTCCCCATAATGAAAGCTTTCATTGTGCAGCAAATGATCCTGTAGACATGAGAAAAAACAAGCTGTGCAACACTGACAGTCAGAAATGTTGACACGTCTCTCTTCATAATTGGCCATCACCTTTTAAAACTAACATGCACAAATCAGGTTTTAATCATTTTAGGTATTTCCGTCTGATTATTGATCTGAGTACATCTGTTCTCTTTTGGTTAAAGATGTTTGACCGAACCCCCCTTCAAAGCTTAGCTGTGCTTTGATCCGTTTATCGACGCACAGTTCTTTGCTTTTGAAGGCTGACAGACGCTGAAACTGCCTTCACATTCTGCTGGCACCCCACCATCAAATCTGTGCTGTTAATATAATAGTGCACCAAGTGGTGCACCATCACACAAAGATGCTTAAATACTCACATTTGATCATTGCCTGTTTTATTCTAGTATTCCTTACAGTTAAATCTGCTGCAGCATTTTTATGTGGTCAGAGGCTGACTTGTTTGGTATACCAGAAGTGACCTCTATATGGTTTTAAATCCCTTTCACTTCTGTGTTTTCTGTAACAGAGAGAGGTTCACGAATCGGGAAATAAATGATATTCTGTCGTCCAGCAATCAAACAGAGAGACAGATTGATGGAGAGGAAGGCTCCATAAGAAGTGAGTCACGTTCCTTTGTATAATTAGAGTATATTGGAGGAAAGAACATCACACCCTCATTCCAACACCTGCACTGTTGGTTAGTGGTTGAGGAGAGCTGTGGAGCCGTCCCATCACAACACATACAGTATTACATGCAGATATGATTTATGTGTTGTGAAAAAGCAGACTTGTTTAGGCTAAAAGATAAAATTCTAATAAAAGAAATATTTATATGTATGTATATAGGTATAATAAGACAATATCATGACTTATAAAGTCACTTTTCCACTTTTTCAAACAGTAGTTCACTCCCTTGCACCAGTTTCATATAATAGTGAAAACAGAGGTTGATATAATCAAGGAAGTTATCAGAGGTTTTGCAGATAATATCAAAAGTCAGAGTTTTTGCAAAAGTGAAAAGAAATCTTGTTTTAACAATGAGTAATGGTGAAAGTGTAAACATGTCTTTAAGGTCATTTTTGGTAGCATTAAGTGCTGCAGAGTTGAGATTGTGGTATGAGCTGTGTTTTATTAAGCATCAGCCACAATAGGGTAAAGATATATAACACTGTCAGAAAGATAAGCTGTAAAATGTCTGCAAATACACACAGTTATCACGTTAGGTTTTATGTGAACTACATTGTTTTACTCTGAATAACCATAAAAATACCAATCATATGATCAAAATCAGAATCCAGGCTCAGACTTTTTGTATCAGTTTGGAGCTCAGCTGACATAAGGAGGTGAGAGGTAAAAAACAGGGACTAAATTGTTGGTACGCATTGTTTAATAGAGAAAGCCCACAATAGTCATAGAAATAACTTGGAAAAAAGTCATGATAAATAAAAATTCTATGAAAATGACCTAATTTTTTCCGTTTTGGCCATTCTCTTTGATGTTTTTTTCAGCTGTGTGTTTTGGGTCATAATCTTGTTGCAGACCCATGACCTGCTACTGAGACCAAGCTTTCTGACACTGGGAAGCAGATTTATGCCTAAAATCCTTTGATAATCTTCTGATATCATTGAACCCTGCAGAGACACCCTGTGCCAGATAAAGTAACGCTGCCCCAGAGCATAACAGAGCCTCCTCCTTGTTTCAAAGTAGGGACAATTTTCTTTCTTTGATATGCTTCATTTTTCCATCTGGGAACAGAGAGCTGATATGCCTTGGCAAAAAGTTTAATTTCAGTCTGTCCATAGGACATTCTCCCAAAAGCTTTGAGGATCGTCGATAGGTAGTTTGGCAAATTCTCATCTACCTTCATTAATTAATTCTACCTTGGTCTCCCCCATATTAAATCTACTTAGGCTCAAACAACAATGGATGATGTGATCTGACGCTGATGTTCCTAGAGTTTAAAGCTCATCTCTTCAGACGTTTTTCTGTGCTCTTTTCTTACCATTCATATTATTCGTCTTTTCAGAGAGGTTGGAGGTTGAAGTCCCATGGATCTGACAATTCTTATTAATATGTGCAACTATATTTCCCAGAATCCTTTTTTTTTTCTAATCTTTAGAGACAAGTCTGTCCAGTGCTTCCTCTGGTCCATGTTGAGTGTGGTACACACCATGTCAACAAACAGCGTAGTGACGAGCTGTAGCCCTATAGGCCCATTGGCTGATTGCAAGATCGTAGACCCCTGTGTAGCTTACCTGTGATGTGACCTTTATTTGTTCTTTTCAAAGATTTTTTTAATTTATCATTGCTTTAGTCAGATTCAAGTTATTTCTTTGACCTCTGAACATTGTTGGTTCTTCTTTCATTAATCAAGGGCTACCAACAATTTTGTCCTTGTGCTAGCCCCTTCTTTGTACGTCTCATTACAACATGATTTTCTATCAGGCCACAAAATGTGCATTTCATATCATTTAGAATTATTTTCTTATCGGTTTCATTTTGACCTTTTCTCTGAAACACTCTTTTACTTCTCAGTAATGAAAACAAATTGAATCAACGCATGACAGATTGTTATCTTTTTGGACACTAAAGTAAAAAGAAAAACTGTTGGAGTCATTGTTGTTGTGTCTTGGATGAGGTGAGCCACTAAATTCATTCCAAGTGGTTAAAAACATATTTTATCACCTTTTATGCATTCAACTGTAAAAATAAACTAAAAACATCTATGGCAAAACTGTATACCAGTACACTGACTTTGAAATATCGTGACTTGCAATTTTTAAGCAATGCTGAAATACTGTTTCATTGATTTTCCATATACTCATGCACGTTAATGGAAATTTAGAGAAAACAATTAACCTAACATTCATGTTTTTTTTACTATGAGAATAAGAAGGATCAGCAGATAACCCACACAGAACTCTCCTAAGGAATGTCCTGCCAAAAGGCAACAGTGCTTTTTCTTTTCACAAGTGGGATAACATTTTTAAAAAATCCTAAACAGCATTTTCAAGAACCTTGTTTTTACCATTTTTACAACCAACGGTCTTAAAATTAAACATTGATTAAATATTTATAGAAAAATAGCTTGCACAAAACTAAACTAACAATTATTCTGTTATGATCCAACTAAGCTGGAAATAATTTGTGAGGAGTAACAAACAATGGCGTAACTATCGGTAAGCAGAGTATGCAGTTGCTTAGGGGCCCGCGACCTCTTAGGGGCCCTGTCACTGACACCAGGTTGGCCCCCAACACAATTGCGGACTAGGGCGTCACTTTGCAGATGTAATGGTGTGAAAGATTCCTCTTGAACCCACCTGATACTAAGCACTAACCCTAACCCCAACACATGGCAGATTGGGTTGTTGTACTTCATATAGGGGCCCACACTGATAATGTGCTTACCAGAATATTGTTGTGTCATTACACCATTGGTAACAGATAAAACATCGTGATTTAAAGCAAACTTTATTAATAAAATTAGTTTTTCAGTATTAAATATTTTAAAATTAAATAATTAAGTATTTGCAGATAAGACACTGTTTAAAACAGTTTCTGCACAGTTGAGGTCCATCTGTACATGAGAGCTTCGTCCCCTCTTAAACCTGATAATGCTTTATAACGCAATCATTTTTTAACAGTATCATCTTTACATACTTTGTTATTTAAACCCTAACTGTAGCTTGTCCTTTTTTCTGATGGTTTTTTTCTCCCCTTGTGTATATGTTCATCTTTCATCTCAGGAGCAGGTTGTGGGAGAAAAGAGGGAGGTGCGGTGCTGACAACAGTTTCTTTTTTCTATTTTTTTTAAATAACTATTGTGACTTTATTTCCCAGAATGCACCGCGCAGCGCGAGGTTTCCCAACAGCTGACAGACGGTGAAGCCTCTGCCAGAGCTGTCGCTGGAAGTTAGTAGAGCCTTCTCTTCGGAAGCTCACACCGACACAAGCCGAACGTTAGCAATATTTAAACTGTTTATCGAGTATATATATATAGCTTTAGAGACACGCGTTTACTGTGCCTCTCTTTTTTTTTTTTTTTATTTATTTTTGTTTGTTCGCTTTATATCCCAGCCTCGCCAGCCGGGGACAATTGCTGTCAGCTAACTTCCACGGTCTGTCGCCCGGACTGCCGCTTTATGTATCACTCTACTTCAGCGGTTTGACTTCCAGCCCTTCCCTCTCCAGCCGGGCCCCGATGCTGAGGAATGGATAGTGTGTCTGCTAACGGTGGGAAGATGGTCGAGAGTGATGAGCAGCAGCCGGAGAGGCAGAGCGGCGGTGGCGCAGCGATGGCCGCGCTCCATCAGTGCGAGCTCATCCAGAATATGATCGATATCTCCATCTCCAGCTTACAGGGGCTACGGACCAAATGCGCCGCGTCCAACGACCTCACGCAACAAGAAATCCGCACTTTAGAGGTAAAAGTGCGCTGATTTGGGGGGGGGATGTGTCTGGTTTAAACTGCGGAGTCATGATGCAACCGACGCTATGTCCGCCAGAGTAGAGGCTGCAAAGGCGACGCTGTCAGCGAGCTGAGCACGTTTTTGTCGCCGATGTAGCGACCGACCTGTCGCTGTAATGACCGTTTGAGGATCGTCGTCAAAAATCGACCTAATTGCAGCCATGATGTGCTCCAAGTGTTTATTTGTGATGGTTGTTAGCAGCGCGCCGTGCAGCTGCATCCATCCAGCCTGGCCTAATGGCACACATTCAATAATCTGATACAGCTTTTATCTGTATGCAGAGCTGGATTCTTTTTTTTTTTTTCTTTTTTTTTTTTTTAGGTTGTGCAACCGGCTTGTCAAAACAAATAACAGAAGGCAATCCTTGCTTTGCATGACTTGTCCTATGTGTTTACAAAAAAAGGGGGAAAAAATGTGGATAGACAGGGTTGATGTTGATCTAGATGCTGATTCAGCTCTGCTTTGTTGATTGTGTTTTACCCTGGAGGCATTTAATTTGCAGGACAGCCTATCATACTGAGAGCTAATTGAACACTAAAAACATGATTGGGTTTAGAGAAGTCTTGCAATGTGGCTTCTTGTGAGTTGATGTTACAGGCCAGGGGTCAGCAGACTGTACAAGTTTCCACTGTTGTTTCGCAAAACTTTCCTTCCCATTTTTAAAACAATCAAGTTTTAAAACTGAAATAACACTTGCAGTTTAAATAATTAAAAAAGGATATTTGGTCAAAAGAATGTTCCACATAGGCAGAGGCGTAGCCAGAAAATTTTTTGTAGGGGTGGCCAGTCAGGGGTGGCCGTAAGCGGATGGGTGCCTATCCTACACTGTTCCAACAGGAATGGCTTTGCTGACAAATAGACACATTGATTTAAACATTTATGCTGTCTAAATAAAAGGTATGGTCTGACAAAAGTTTTTCCATTGTCGTTACTTACCTTCTTTTATCAGAATTTGTTCTGCATAAAATTAATATTTACATGTACTAATATCTACATTTAATTCATTTTAAAGTTATTATTAAAGTAGTTATTTATCTATGATTTTCTTGCAGACACCTAGATGACTTGCAGAGACGCATCATTTTTTTTTTACCCAATATAACACAAAATTTAGTTCTTAAAAGAGCATGAATTCTGTATATAACAGCTTTAATGTTAGTATATTGCTGTGCATAATTAACCATATCATTTTAGCTATCAAGTAATTGTTAATATATGAAAGATTAAAATTTTTAATAAGTTAGAACATTCCCCTTGAGAGTGATACTGCTGCCACTGTCTGTATTAGAGGGCGTAAAAAAAAAATGGTTGGCTAAGGGTGGCCATCGCCACCTCTGGCCCCCCACCTAGCTCCGCCCCTGCACATAGGAGCAGGATGAAGAAAATGGACTGAGGCTAAACAAAAAGAAGCATTTGAACCATTGGGGTTCTTTGGTAATGACTTTTTGTGCAGAAAAAAAGTCCAAGGAACAGCCAAAACTTGACCTTTGTCTTACCTTTGTAGCTAAAAAAAAAATGCTACTTGGGTCTTTCTTAATCTTCTGCAGAAGTTAGGGTGTGAATCTCTGGTGTACCTGAAATGTACAGTATATGCAGCACTTATTCCATTAGATTTAAGATGGGAAAGTATTTGTTAAATATAAAATTGACGTAATCTTTTGTTATTACTGCTTTATTATAGAGATTGAACATATAGTTGTTTTTTTTAAGGCGAATACCAATTATTTTGACATCAACCTATCTGATTCTTTGTTTCGTATGGTTTTTGGTATCATTTTCGAAGTCGATATTGCTTTATCTTCCCACATTTAATTAATAAAAATGACAGTTGTAAGAATTATTGCACAAGTCTCAATTTAAATAGAATTATCTGTTAACAAAACAAGGAAAACATAATGGATAGCCAGTGGAAGGAGCGGCAATGCATGCACTTCATGGGGTCTGCTGAATGCACAAAGAAATTGGCCAACACATCCACGTATCACCCGATGCTAACATCTGCCCTAAATATCTTTCTGTGGATTTATTGCTATGTTTCTACTTTATTAGATGCTTAGCCATAATATAAGGCCCACTTATTTCCTTATATTTTATGCTTGTAGAATGATGCCATCAGAGATGATTCCTCCTAAAATTGTTCCATCATACCATTTCTCTGCGTTATAATCTATTAATCTAAATGGAACGCAAAAATGCCAAAGTTACCAGAATTTTCTCTCGTCGTATATAGTATTTATTTCGGATTTAATTTGTGTTCCTGGCTGGCTTTGTTTTGTGAACTTATCTACATGGAATGAAAGATTAATTCCCAACAATTTAAGAAACAGTCAGTCAGCTTAGATTAGGGATCTATCAGTAGGCTTAAGCCTTTGGTCTACCCCAGGCGTCTGGCTGGTAATGGCCAAAAAACAAAATAAACCACTCCTCCTTCAGGAGAAATGACAGAAGCTGACAGGATACTACATAAGCAGATGCAGACATGATGTGACATGGAGCTACGCTATACAACCAATTCAGCCTCTCCTTGATATATGTTTTTTTTTCCCTTTGAATTTGTGATTATTTGTTTTTTTAGTTTGTCCTACAAAGCTGCAGACCGAGTAAACTGTCGAGCTACTGCAAAAAACCTACAATTTTTTTGATAGAGGAGCATACATAGAGTTTTAAGTGTAAAAACAACATTTTAAGAGGCTACAAAGTTGTGGCTGATAAATAAATGTTCTGCTAATAAAGGGATTAAGTGTATCTATGGTTTTGTTCATTTCAGCTTACCATGTAGATTAATACAGGAAAAGATGTACAGTGGAAAAAAAATGAGAAGAACCCTTTTTTGCCCCCTATTTAAGAATATATATCTAAATCTGTTCTGTTGGTCCTTAGCTCCCTGGCAGGGTTAGTGTAGATTTGAAAGGTGTCATGTGGGAGCAAATTGTAACAGAAAAGCAAACTAAGTGATTAAATATGAGGGAAGCCCAGCAACTTCGGCTTGCTGTTTCCTTAGCCTACCCCTGCTCCACTCCCACTGGTTTCGTGCATAAGGGGAGCAGATGCAGCTGAGTGGCTTGTTACGTTTTTGCTTCCTGAAGCAAAAGTTGCAGGTTAGCCAATGCAAGCCTCAACTGGTTAGTGGAATTATGAAGTCTTGGCCCATTCAAGTCTACATTCTTCCACTCGTCTTTATCCGTTGTCATTTTGTGCTTTGTCAGTGGAACAGGACGTGATCTGACGGAGTACTTCCTGAGGTATGTTCGTCTCGTAGATAGGTTTTCTCACCGGCATTGTTCTACATGACAATGGAAACGCAGTGCGACTCTCGTGTTCTTCTTGAGTACTCCTTAAACTGTTCTAAGGTTGTTTTGTTTCTCATATGCTTAGCAGGCGTTTTTAAGGACCAATGCTGATAATTTAGTTGTGCAAGCAGTGGATGTGGTTATTTCTAGTTAGATTTTGTTGGTTTGTGGTCTTCAAAAGTTCAGAATTTACCTCGTTGTTCACCAAGGTTTAGTACAGCAAGGAGCTGTACTAAATCTTCGAGCGGCTGCATCAACGTCAGAAAGTAAAAGTTCTCTTTGAGTTTAGTGGCTGCATCAAAAAAGTCACGAGTATAAATTTATTGTCTGGATAATTGTATTATTTATTGGTATTTTCTTTGATGTAAAGTAAGGTATTTTCACATTGAGTTAACTATTTGGTCATAAACGGCCCCTGGTGTGCAGTGCCCTTTTAAGGGTGATGCTGTTCCCCATTAGCTGGCTGTTGAAAAGCCTGAAAGAAAAAAAATAAATAAATAGAAAAGCACTCAATATGAATGTTAAAAGGCATATGATTACCAAATAAGTTATATTTTTAACTATTTTTGTACTTTCATTTCTATTTTTCTTATGTTTTTTATTGTTTTTATCCAGACATTTGAGACAAATTATCAGACGGTACATCACCAACATCTTCCTTTCTTTAAAGCATGATATATTTCTTTAGTTTTCTTTATCAAACTCTACAAACTGTGCTACTTTCTGTGATTATAATAAGGAATTTTCTTTCTCATTTAACCCTTTTTTGTTTTTGCTATCCCTTAACATTGAAAGAAACCCATATTTTTACACGAGGCTGTCATTTTCTGAGCAGTACTTATAGTTTTAGTTTTCTAGCTGAAAAGCTGTTTTGTACTGTAAGTAAATGATCTGCATTTTCCAGACGAATAGCACTATAAATATTCCCCGATACCTTATTTATAAAGAAGAATAAACAACTCCTCCTCTGTACAGAACATCCAGGCTTATCTCAGTCCAAAGGAGATTAAAATTGTATTTGAATGAACTCAATCACTCCTCATTACCATTTTACAGCCTGATATCTCTAAGTAGAAATATAATGCAACTTTTATCATAGTATTTGTCTAAAAAATGTTATTGATATTTAAAACGATACCATTTATCACATTTTTCTTGTGCTAAAATGTTGCTAATAATAAAACTTCTTAGAGTTGATGTATTTTCCTATAGGTGGGCCTTCATGATAATAATGCTATTTTGCTCTGCTGCTCTTTATAAAGTAAACTCAGGGATAAAAATAGCAGATTGTTATGGCTTTGGGCTTTAATCTGGTGTGTTTACATCCATCTTTTTCTTTCACGTATGCCCAATAACATGCACTGTCCCAACCAAATAAACAAAGTCAGCTAACTGTATAGGTTCGTAGCTTAAAGCTTGCTGCTCGTCAACTGAAAGGTAAAACAATATCGCCTTAAAGTTTGATTAATGCTCTTTGTTTCCAAATCATAAATATGCCTTAAGCGTTGGAACAAGGAAATGTGTTTACCTGCTTTCAGGCTGCTCTGCTCACTGGTAGGATAGTGATGCATTTCACTATGCTTTATCAGGACAGTCAACTTTGGTCATGCTAGCACTTTCTGTGCCATATGATTAACTGACTATTTAGGAGCAGCACAGCTGTGT